ACATTGGAGACCATCATTGGCTTTGCCATGTTTTACATTGCCGTCCCAGTGGTTTGGGATTTTGTGGATGATTTGTCTCGCAGTAAATTGGAAAAGAAGGACGCCAAAAAGCCGCCACAAGAGTTGGCAGCACCAGACCTCCATGACGAGGAAGAAGATGACGGGGAAGTAATCGAAGCTCCGAGCAAGGACGAAGCCGAAAAGAAGGTAGACTAGTAGACTACTATTCGGCGGGGATTTGTATTTGTGACCAGTCGCATTAAACACCCGGGGAGTGATGCGACAGAATAAGATCAGTTTTCATATTATTGTACGACGACAAGAAGTCGATGATACTTCCCTGGGGGCACTACTTCTTTGTTTGCCTTTTTTTTCTTCATATTACTGCACACGCATTTGATTTCTATATATATTATTACCACGATGGAAAGAAGGGATGAAAGATTCATTCAACAAAGTTAAATAGTTAGAAGAAAGAAGTTATGAATTTTTCTCCAGGATAGTCGTAAATGTCCCTGAACTGAATACCTATGTAGCAACCAACGAATGAATGAATGAATCAATCAATTATATAAGCTTGATGCTTTTGGTGCTTCCTCTAGAAATGGACTATATATTGTACCTCCTCGTGTGATGATTGATAATAGTTGTTATTATGCTTATGTTATGCTATACTCTTTCTTCCACTACCAACTTCTATTGCTGTAGTATTGAAATGGAATGGAATCCTTGTTTTCTCTACTTCCTACCAACTACTACGAACAGTACAGCGCCGTTTCTAATTGAGTATCTTGATCCATCGCACCGCCACGTAGGGATTCATTTCCTTCCAATCTCCCGGTTCAAAGTTCGTCCCAGTCAAGGCATGCATCCGATCAATGATATCTGTCCCCCGTGTCACTCGTCCGAAACATGGATCCGCACTCCCATCTTCGGCATATCCCCCCGGTCCGTGCAATTCCGAATTGTCCCGGGTATTGAAATAGAAATTGGGTCCACCGGGACGACCGGCAAATCCGACCGTGTAGGCACCGTGAGGATAATTGTAGGAATATTCTTGAAACAAGACGGACGCCACGCCACTGTCGGCAAAGCGTTGGGCGGGGTCCATATCGGGTGGCGTCAATTGGTTGTACACGGGTGCGCCCATGATGATGTGTTCTCCATTGTGATGAAAGGCATATCCACCATCGTCGTACAGGCCCATTTCGACCTGTTCCAGGAAGGTGAAGACCGAATGTGGCATTTCGTCCATGGGCGCCAATTCGACGGTAATCCAAGCCGAGTCGTTTTCGCCAAAGTTGAGTTCGAGTTCGACGGCCAATTGGCGGTACCCGTATCTGATTGTGAATTTGCAATAGAAAAAATTATAAGAAAGAAAGAAAGTGAGAATCACACCAAGCCAAACCAAATCAAACCAAATCAATTCAATTCATGAACATCTCAACAAAGTACAAGACTTACTTTTGAATCAATCGTCGTCTGGAGAATTCTTGAATTTGTTGCTTGACAAAATTGGCATGTTCTTCCAACCCAATAGCCTTTGCCTTCCATTCTCCAGCCCAGGTTCGTTCTTGCATGAGCATGTTGGTGGTTTCTTCCAAGTCTCTCGAGAGAGATTGAACTTGTTCCGAATTGGTACTCCCATTGAGTTTTTGAGCCTTTTCGGCCGCCACAATGGCCGCTTCGGCGGTTTGTTTCAATTCGACGTGTGACTTCTCGAGAGCTTCATGACTGAGTTGCAAGGAATGATATTTGGTCATCCAATGATGTTTGGTATGTTCCACTTCTTCGCGGGTAACATCTTTGACGAGGGATGGCAATAGGAAATAGTTGAAATACAACCATCCGCCACCGGCTAGTAGACAGGTCCAGAGCAAAAAGAAGCCACAGGAAATGCCACCTCCATTTCTACTCTGAGAATAGGCATTCGCAGGTTTTCGACGTACTTCAGCATAATGATTTTGTGGATTGTGTTGTGGATACGAGGAGGAGGAGGAGGAGGTTGCGGAAGGATACGCTGCTGCTGCTGCTGATGTTGATGCTGATGCCAATGATGATGCTACCGCTGGATGAGATGGCTGCATTATAGTATGAGAGGCTGCTCCTGCACCATACAGATTCGAAGTACTAGTACTCGTCCCGGCACTGCTAAAGCTCATGTCTCCAGGCGATCGTGGAGGCGGTCGGTGAATAATAGAAGGCGGTTGTCCGCTACCATTTGGTGGTTGTTGCTGATTATACTGCAACGAGTTGGTGCTTCCATTGTTCTTGCCGAGGCTGCTGCCCGTGGAGCGACGGTGATGGAATTGCTGAGGCGGTGGTGGTGGCGGTGGCATTTGTTGCTGTTGGCCATGATTCAAGAATGCCGAATTGGGCTTTACTTGATTCAGAGTTCGTCTTTGAGTGGGTCGGTACATGCTGTTCTGTTGCCTCTTGTTCTCTGTTTTATACTGTGATGTTTTCTATGTTTGTTACAGTACGGTACGGTACTGTAGTTATTATTATAATAGTTGTTTGTCACGTAAGAGCTCTTTGATTGATTGGAATGAAATAAAGAAACGCTTGGAATGTCAAAGAATGGACTTTCTAGTTCAATGATGGAAAGGTTCTTGCAGTCAAGGCACTTGGGTAGGAATGTGTGAAGCACTGTAGTTCAATATACCGGTAATAATCAATCAATCTTCGTATACCGGTACTCGGTACTGTATTGATGGTGTAATTGCGCCAGTGCAGTGAGTGGTATATTTATGGCGACCTGATATTCATTTTGGGGTCATTTACGACTTACGACCCCCTCCAGCAATGCTATTGGTGCGCGAGCGACAATGCGAACGGTGGTGGCTGGCGGCGTTGACGAACGTACTGTTATGTTTTTCGCAGTAATCCGCCGTCGAGTCATCGTCGTCTTAATGCAGGATATGCGACTTGTTCGACTACTTCTTGTTTGCCAATGATGATGATGATGAACGAAAACGAAACAATCAAATTTCAAAATACAGGAAAAATAACATCGCATTACAACAGCCACAAAACCAAGACGAATCACCACCACCGACTACTGCTGATGCTAAAGATTGCAACGACAACATAAAAGAAACGTCAGAATGATCAGCCATCGTCATCCAAGGTCGTCCTCGGCGCATTCTTCATCCTCGCCAACCACTAATAATAATAAGTCAAAGCCGTCAATATGCCGCACCAGGCTCAACAGCAATACCTCATCATCATCCTCCTCAAGATCAGCCTCGGCCTCAACATTATCATTGCTGCCGTCTACGATATTACCAACCTCTGCCATCAATATCAGCAACAGATCATCCACCAAAGCGACGAATATGACATTCTCCTACTCCAAACACTATTGGCTGTTGGTCCAAATGACATTCTTGCTCGCCATGTTGACGGTCATGGTTCTCAGCAACAGGCAATTGGTGAGCAACTCGACGACGAATGAATTCTTTTCTTCAACAACCAATGATCAATTATCATTATTATCCGAAGCCGAATCCATAGCAGCCTCCGCTTCCAAAGAATTCAATACCTATCACAACAGCGCGGCCATTTGCGTCATTCAAAAGGGTGCTTTGCGATACATCGATGAATGGGTCTATTACAATCTACTCGGAATAGGCTTTGATCACATTTACTTTTATGACAATTCGGATGATTTTGAGTTGCAAG